GACGGGGTTTCGCCAACCTGGCCAGGCTGATCTTGAACTCCTGACCTCATCTCCCACCCACCTCGGCCCTCCAAAGTGCCGGGATTACAGGCGTGAGCCACCGTGCCCGGCCTCGCTGTACAGTTTTTAAAGACTATCTTCACCTCAACCCAGCAAGGAAAGTAGAGCTGGCATTACTTTTCCTGATCTTATACATGAGGAAAACCAAGACATTCCGTGTTGAAATAACTTCCAGTACTAAAGTTTTCCGACTTACCCAAGGTGCTGTGATTAACTAGAGTTAGAGATAAAAGTAGACTTTGATCTCCCCCAACCACCACCCCACCACCCACCTTGTACTGCATGGAAGGGTGAGATCAGAACCATGTATCTGAGTTATACGTTTAGCTCTTTTTTTTTTTTTTTTTGAGATGGAGTTTCCCTCTTGTTGGCCATGTTGCAGTGCAATGGCACAATCTTGTCTCACTGCAACCTCTGACTCCCAGGTTCAAGTGATTCTCCTGCCTCAGCCTCCCGAGTAGCTGGGATTACAGGCATGCGCCACCAGGCCCAGCTAATTTTGTATTTTTAGTAGAGACGGGGTTTCTCCATGTTGGTCAGGCTGGTCTTGAACTCCCGACCTCAGGTGATCTGCCTGCCTCTGCCTCCCAAAGTGCTGGGATTACAGGCGTGAGCCACCGCACCCGGCCGGCTTTTGAACTATATCAACCCTGAAGGGGTGAGATTCTTAGAATGATAGTTCAGAGACGGCCAGGAGAGTAGGGGAGATGGAAACACATGCTACTAATAGTAAGGCTCAGCTTCGATTGCCCAGCCCTGGGAAAGCCTTTCTCTTCAGGGCACTTGATCCCACGGAAACTTGGCAGTTGGAGCTTTAAAAGGAAAGGGAGAGGGAAATGAAAGAGAGAGGGTTCTGTCAGGGAGCTGCTCGGTTTTAACAAAGGGGGCCATTCCCATGGCACAAGCACAACCCTTCTCTCTGTTATCAGGAGACCATGTTGAGATTACCCTGAATTCACCTAAAGTGATGCTGACTCTTCATGATATTCCCAATGATTCCTGAATCTCATGATGGCCAGAAGCCGGTCTCCCCATGGCCATGGCACTCTCAGAGGATATTTGGTGACTGGACCTTGTGTTCTGTGGTTGTTTCCACTGTCTCCACCTCTTAGATTTGGTCCTCTTGTTAGGCCATAGGGTGTGGGCCTGACCCAGTGCAGTAAAGTCCAGGGCACCTTGGCCTAGGTGCTAACTCCTTCAAAGTTTCTGCTTTATTTCCACAGCTGCGCGTTTCCAGCCTGCACTGTGCATGCTGGGTGGGAGAGGGCAGCTTGAATGCAATAACTGCATCTAGCACAGTTGACAAGACTCTTTCTTTACTACCATGAAGGAAACCACATTTAAAAATGTGTCCCCTTATGTATCCTCTGGGCATTACATATAGTTCTGTCATCAAAGGTAAGAATGATTTTGACCCCAGTGCCTGGTACAGAGTAAGTGCTCAGTAATGTCAGTTAGCTATTATTACAGCTATTACCACAGCCTCTAAAAAGAAATGCTCGGCTGGGCACAATATCTTATGCCTGTAATGCCAGCACTTTAGGAGGCCAAAACAGGAGGATCATTTGACCCCTGAGTTTGAGACCAGCCTGGGCAATGTGGCGAGACCTTGTCTTTACAAAAAGAAAATTTTTTAATTAGCTGGGCCTGGTGGCATGTGCCTATAGTCTCAGCTACTTGGGAGAGGAAGACAGGAGGATCACTTGAGGCCAGGAGTTCAAAGTTACAGTGAGCCATGATCACACCATTCCAGCCTGGGCGACAGAGGGAGACCTTGTCTCTAAAAAATAAAACAAAAACAAAAACAAAAAAACCCTGGATGCAGTGGCTCACGCCTGTAATCCCAGCATTTTGGGAGGCTGAAGCAGGCAGATTGCTTGAGCCCAGGAGTTCAAGACCAACCTCAGTAACATAATGAGACCTTGTCTCTACTAAAAATTTAGAAAATTAGCCAGGCATGGTGGCATGCCCCTGTAGTCCCAGCTACTTAGGAGGATGAGGTGGGAAGACTGCATGAGCCCAGGAGGTCAAGGCTGCAGTGAGCTATGATCATGCCACTGTACTACAGCCTGGGAGGCAGAGCAGGAACACTTAACCATCTCATAGATAATTAGATTAGTCTTCTTCCAGGGACCTAAAGAGGAAAGTGATAAAGTGAACATAAAAGCAGTTTGAAAAGTAAGTGACAGAAGCATGAAAAGTATCCTGTTTTTTTGTTGTTGTTGTTGTTTGTTTGTTTGTTTTTGTTTTTTTTGAGATGCGTCTCACTCAGTCACCCAGGCTGGAGTGCAGTGGCACGATCTCGGCTCACTGCAACCTCCGCCTCCTGGATTCACGCCATTCTCCCGCCTCAGCCTCCTGAGTAGCTGGGACTACAGGTGCCCACCACCATGCCCAGCTAATTTTTTGTACCTTTTGTAGAGACCCCGCCCAGCCGAAAAGTATCATTTTTAAATTAGTTCTTACTTGGATTCCATCATTGAGCACAAAACAGTAATCTGGTTCAGGATAGAAATATAAACATTAGGCCTGGTGTCATGGCTCACATCTGTAATCCCAGCACTTTGGGAGGCCAAGGCGGGTGGATCAGCAGGTCAGGAGTTCAAGACCAGCCTGGCCAACATGATAAAACCCCATCCCTACCAAATATATAAAAAATTAGCCAGGTGTGGTGGCACGCACCTGTAATCCTAGCTACTCAGAAGGCTGAGGCAGAAGAATTGCTTGAACCTGGGAGGTGGAAGTTGCAGTGAGCCAAGAGATCACGCCACTGCACTCCAGCCTGGGCAACAGAGCAAGACTCCACCTCAAAAAAAAAAAAAAAGAAACAGAAATATAAACATTAGGCCAGGCGCATGGCTCATGCCTGTAATCCCAACACTGGGAGGCCGAGGCGGGTGGATCACTTGAGTCAGGAGTTCGAGACCAGCCTGGCCAACATGGTGAAACCCTGTCTCTACTAAAAATACAAAAATTAGCCAGGCGTGGTGGCACGTAACTGTAGGCCCAGCTACTTGGGAGCAGAGGTGAGAGAATCTCTTGAACCCAGGAGACGGGTTACAGTGAGCCAAGATCGCACCACTGCACTCTAGTTTGGGCAACAGAGCAAGACTCCATCTCAGAAAAAGAAAGAAAGAAAAAGTAATATAAACCATTCATCATTAAAAGACTCTAGTTGAATTATGGCATTCTGTTGTTAAAATTCTTCCATTACCCACCACTTCTGTTGATTTTGTCAACATGGTAATACATTGAGGGTCATGGTAACTTTAACGTCACAGGATCCTAAAATGTCTTCTGAATTATTAAAAAGTTTGTGTGTGTGTGTGTGTGTGTGTTTGGTGCCATGAACAGTGAGGTTAACTATGTACTTATCTTTTCAAATAAGGGATCTATTAATGACTCTCAAGATAATCCTTCTAACCAGAGTGTTTGCTTGCCTGGAATACCATATTCCCTCACAGATGAGCTCTTCCAGACTCCAGGAGAAAGCATAACTAATCTAAACTTATGTACTTGGTTGGTAGCTATCAGAATAAGAGTGCAGGTCTTCTGATTCTCTTTTTTTTTTTTTTTTTGAGATGGAATTTCGCTCTTGTCACCCAGGCTGGAGTCTAGTGACGTGATATTGGCTCACTGCAACCTCCACCTCCCAGGTTCAAGTGATTCTCCTGCCTCAGCCTCCCGAGTAGCTGGGATTACAGGCGTGAGCCACCGCACCCGGCCGGCTTTTGAACTATATCAATTTTTGTATTTTAGGTAGAGACGGGGTTTCACCATGTTGACCAGGCTGGTCTCGAACTCCTGACCTCAAGTTATCTGCCCGCCTCAGTCTCCCAAAGGTCTTTTGATTCTTACACAGTGCTTCTTCCTGCAACCCAGCATGCCTTCTCACATAGAGGATGCTGGTAAAGAGCGTGGACTGTGGAGTCAGAAAGATCCAAACCACAAGAACAACTCCTCCACTCAGTGGCAAGGTGATCCCAGCTTCGGCCTCTGCTTTCTGAACTTCCTCAGGTGTAAGATAGGGTTAATACTATGCCTTTGCTCAGTAAATGTTAGCCACTCTTATTAACAGAGGGCTTGCTGTACATGCAGTCACTATGCTTTACAGTTTAAAATAGAAAGAACAAGAGTGAATCCCTTCCCAGACCATTCCAATCCCAGTTCCAGGCTCCTGCATCCATGCAGGATGGTCACCTTTCCTTGGGGACAGCTGGCCTCTTTCTATCACCCCTAATCAACCATTCTATCCTTTTCTTCAGTCCTTGTTGTCGTTTTTATGTTTCTTTTATTATTTAAGTTAGCCTTTTTATTATAATTATTCAAATTATTCTTTGTTTTTTCTTTAATTCATTTGTGTAGAAATGAAATGTTGGAATACAGACTGAGCTTGTAGTTAACAAACAGATGTTGATATAGCTGTGAAAATGGAAACAGAGGCAGTCTATGAATAAATACACTTTTTCCATGAACTCAATCCCAGGACACGGTGGACATTGTCCCTCAAAGTTTTTTTTTTGCCCTCAGTATGGCACGAGAAAAAGAGAACCAGTAATTCAGGCTGTATCTGCATGAACAGAGTTCACTTAGAAGCTAGCCAGGAATGCTAAATGTGCTAATAAATGGCTAAACCGATAAGCAACAAAGATATTCTGAACCCAAGTTGATATCATGGCTGAATTCCACTCTGCTCCACTGGTTAGGAACAAGAGTAAAGCGTCAAACCCTGGGAAATAGTCTCTACGTGATCAACCACAGCACGAGCTACACACCACTGATCTGCTCAGAAGTCACTTCAGATAGATGCTGCATTTGGAAAGTTTCAGGGTTCTGTTCTCTCCTCTCCTTCCCAAGGGATGGAGATAGCTCCATTGAAGTTGAGGTGGTGGAGAAGGCTTTCAGACAGTCATAAGTGAAAACCCTGTGTTTCTCTACAGGTGGTGACTTTCGATGCAGGGGGAGTAAGTGGCCACAGCAATCACATTGCTCTGTATGCAGCTGTGAGGTACGATTCTCTGGGCGATGGAGGTGGGGGAGGGTTTGTTTGTTTGATTAGGGCTCATGGTTTAAAGTCTAAAGCACTTTCCCACTTGTTATGTGAGCCCATGAAACTCACTGCTGGCTTATCATCTAGCCCTGCTCACTGCATCTCACCATGTCCTCTCTCTGAGAAATCTCTCTCGAGTCCTAGTACGAATGCTCATCTCCTAAACAGCTGAATTTTTTGTATACACTGAATACTGCAAATGGGGTAATTGACTTTATTCATCTCTTTTCTGTGGCCACAGAAAGCTTGAGGGCCAAATTTGCAACCCCTGTGGCACATGGACAAGACTTTAAGGAATGAGTGCTGTGAATCAGTGTGCCTCCAGATTCACCATCTTCTTCCCCTTACTCTCACTTCCTTCATGTATTTTATACAACTCTCAAATCTTTGGAGAAGGAGGATATACATACATAATATGAAATGCGTTTATTCTTCACAGTCACCCGATTTTACTGATATTTATTTACATTTTACCAATAAAAATAAAATGCAAGCTCAAAGATATGGAGTGACGTACAGTCATAGAAACATAGATGTGTTTCCTGTCCCCTAGCAAAGTGCTTCTCCTGGGCCCCTGATCAGCGGTGTGGCAGGCCTGTCCCAGCTACTGAGGAAGGAAAGGAGCAACTTGAAGGGAAGGACTTATTTGATAACCTTCTTCTAAACATGCTTAACACTCAGACTGAAGCAATGCAATATGTAAAGTTGGAAATGACCTCACCAACCATTAAGTCCAGCCACCTCATTTTACTGAGGCTGGGAAGTGGTTTGCCGAGCACTACAAGAATAAACTATGGCAGAGACAGAATTCAGGAATCCTAGTTCTCCATTCATTATTCTCTCAGATGTATGTGAAGACCAATCCAAACTGAAGACCCTCCTTGTCCTTAAAGTTTACATCACTTGGTGGAAGATGCTATAGTTTTACCCACATACTCTTTCTAGGCAGCTTTCCCTGTTTCCTTGACTGTGGAATGAGGGGAGGCTAGACTGTTCTCCCGTGAAGGCTATTCAGTTCCTGGACCAGCCAGCGGCCACAGCTTTAGAGGAGACATGCTGCTAGTCGCATTAGGTCCCTTCAGATTCAGGAAAGAAACATTCCCTGGTTAGTCTGAAATACAAATTTTTTTGATGATATATGGAAAAATGAGGCAGCCCCGGAGTGGTCTTTCCAACCACATGGTTACTCTGAGGCCTTGAGCTTCCAAGACTAGCATGGACAGCAAGCCCCATGGAGAACTGGAAAAATGGTCTCACCTCATTCTGGATGCACACTGAGCCTGGTGATTTCTCACCAAGAATTTACGCTGCACCAGAGAAAGGATCAGGTCAGGTCTGTTGCAAACATACTAAGAGTACCTCCACAGGCAGGGGGCTGGGGCACTTGAGATTGAGTCACCTGGTCCCATTCCTGGTCCAGTCACCATTGAAGTAGGGAAAAGCAGAGAAGGCATCATTCTGGATGGAAAGAACCCAAGGAGACAACTCTGTGTAGATAGAACTGCCTGGGACCATTTTCCTCAGAAGAGGCTGGAGTGCCACAGGCTCTCAGCACGAAGGTGGGCCACTGTGCTTCAGATAAAACAATTCGTGGACATGCCACCAATCTTCTAAAACCTTTTTCCCCACAGTCATCTCTTGCCTGCTAAATTCATTAGACTCACCTTAGCCCTCAGCCATCTTCAGCTTTCTGTGGCATTTGGCCCTGCATGTCCCTCACTGCAATGCTGCTTTGGCTTATATGGCACCAGCTTGCCCTCCTCACTCTGGCCTTTCTGGCTACTTCTCAGTCTCTTCCTGTCTTCCCTCCCACCAGTGGCCCCTTGATCCCCCTGTCCCCAAGACTCGCTCCCCAGGCCTCCTCCAGCACAGCTCCCTGTGGCTTTAAGGACTATAAGCTCTATTTCCAGACAGTGCCTCCAGCTCACTGCTTTCCCTGTTATCAGAATATCCACAGGACTTTGCCAGAGAGAACAGAACAAGCCACTTCATTCTCGGATCCCAGAAATCTTTTTCAGGTTTTCTTCTTCTTTCTTTCTTTTTTTTTTTGAGACAGAGTCTCGCTCTTCGCCCAGGCTGGAGTGCAGTGGCCAGATCTCAGCTCACCGCAAGCTCGCCCCCGGGTTCCATGCCATTCTCCTGCCTCAGCCTCCGAGTAGCTGGGACACAGCGCCGCCCCTCGCCCGGCTAGTTTTTTTTATTTAGTAAAGCAGGGTTTCACCGTGTTAGCCAGGATGGTCTCGATCTCCTGCCCTCGTGATCCACCCGTCTCGGCTCCCAAAGTGCTAGGATTACAGCTTGAGCCACCGCGCCCGCCTTTTTTTTTTTTTAAGACAGTCTCGCTTCTGTCGCCCAGGCTGGAGGGCAGTGCGTGATCTCAGGCTCACGCAGCCTCCGCCTCTGGTTCAAGCGATTCTCCTGCTTCAGCCTCCTAGTAACTGGGACTACCAGTGCATGCCACCACACCTGGCTATTGTATTTTTATTAAGGATGGGTTCACCATATTGGCCAGCTGAGTGAACTCCTGACCTCGTGAACCACCGACCTCGCGCCTCCAAAGTGCTAGGTTTACAGGTGGTGAGCCACCGCGCTGCCTCCTTTCAGGTTTTTCTACCTCTCAGGCTCTGCCAGGCAGTCAGTTCCATGATTGTCAATTCTCTCTCAACTTCTCTTCTTTAACCCTGTCCCAAGAGTCCTCTGTTCATATAATATGTGTGTCTATGTGCCGGGGCTACCTTCCCAATCTTCTCTGCCCCAGATTTCTAAACAACAAAGTGGGGAAGAGACTTGGAGCTTCATTGCAGTTTACACTCCCTCTCTTAAAGTGGTGAGCACACGAATAACCCTCACTGTCAGAAGGTAGGTGTGGGGGAGCTCAGAAAAGGAAAAGGAAATATCAGGAAGAGCTATCGTTAGCATTGTAAAATATTCCCTCATCATACTCACATTACATTTCAAGAGGAACTATGA